GAATTATGTAAGTTACTGAAGATAATATTAATTTTTATAAATTTGAATATCATAACCATTTTCATTATGTTTATAAGTTTTACATATTTAAGAACTTGTTTTGTTGAGCACATTCAAAAAATTAGAATCGAATTTACAGATGAATTTCAAATTTTGAATATTATATAGTGAAATATATCCAATTTGATCCATAAGTTTTTTATGAATGAAAGAAATTTATAATTTGCTAAAATTGTATTATAATTTTTGATAATGTTATATGTTTGAGTTGTTAATATTTTAGCTATATGAATTGGATATTTCACATTAAAGCATTTTCATTAGTTATAATGGACGATCATTTATGCTATATATGAGAAAGATTAACAACTAACATCGACTGTTTGCTTAACAGTACATTACATATGTCAACAAGCTCCCATGATAAGGTTTGGTTAATTTAATAACATTGTAAGTAATTTTTATTACAACTCTTTGCAGTGCTAGATCCCTAGATGACACTTCATGTTTCAGTTAGATTAATTAAGATTTCTAGGATACTTTTTCATTAGTAAATACTTAACAGTACAATGAGTCTAAATCATTATTTGCATAATTTTATGATTTTTTAACTGTCCTACTTTCATACTGATTCGCCCATATGTTGATACTATTATTGTAACTTATGTAGATACCTCTAGCAGAAATATATTAGCACAGCAAAGAAGTGTTTATTGTAATCTATATACACCCCCAAATGCATTGGAAACGTCATTAAAAATGCCTACCCTATGATAAGCAGTGAGTTAGAAAGTTATATCATTGTTGAGATGTTTTTACATACTGTAAAAAATGATGCAAGATCTCAGCTGAGCAAGTATTAATGCCATTTTTCTTATTCATCATTTTCTTTTTTTATAAAAGGATTACTTAAATAAAGCTATGTAATTAAATTCGGAATATTGGACGCATTATATCGGAATGCATTACATTAATTTTAACTAAGAGCAATGAAAAAGAGTGCTGGATACTTTTATTGATTTGTTTATATATTTTTGACTCCACATAATATTCAATTGCCTTGGCAGTTTGTAAGTGCTGAACAACATTATATTTAATGAATCACACTTTTGGACAGCTACTGTTAACTTACTTTGAAGGAATGCCTCTATATAATCTGGATAAAATCATCAAATATAAGTAAGCTGAAGTATGTTAGTGAATATTGTCACTAAATTTTATGATTTTACATGTTATATAGTAATAAAAAAAAGGTTAAATTTATAATAACAATTAGATATAAAAAATATAATATTTATGAATATCTTTGAAGTATCCATACCCTCTTTTCTAAATTATACTCTTAGAATTTGACTAAAGTTAAGCAGCTGCTAGCTTGAATCACTGGATGTAGATATGCGCAGCTGACGTTTGCTACGCCTTTGGGGGTGAGAGTGGTCCTAGCTGCTAGTAGAAGCAATAGGACTAACAGGGCTCAGAGGACTACGTGCAGAATCCCTGAGACAACCGGTCAATGTAATAGCTACTTTACGACATCCAGCATCATTACGGTGTTCGCACAACCAAATTCCTTGCCATGTACCCAAAGTCAACTTGCCATCAGTAATAGGAATACTCAATGAAGAGCCCAGAAAACATGCCTTTATATGTGCTGGCTATAAATAATACAATTAATTAAATTGTTGTAATTATTTCATTTTAATAAAAATACTTTATTTAAAATAGAAAATTGTATTTAGCATTGCTTTTATCTATATGTAATTCTATTGTTATTTTCATTGATATACAAGCATATAAATAGGGACTTAGTTAGAAGGTACTAAAAGTGAGTAGCGTGGAGTGAAACATGTGAGAATATAAACATGGAATTAAATAGTATAAGGAAATAAATTTAGGTAGGAGACAAGTAGTAAGTGAGACAGAATAGAATTATGAGAACAATTAGAGAGGCAGGGAAACGAAATAGGTAAAGCAAAAGAAAATAGAAAAGTAAGGTTAGGATGGACAGGTAAAGTTAGGGAATAGTATATGTAATATAAGTACAATAGCAGGGGTAGGAAAAAGAATAAACATTAGAGGTAAGTAGGAGAGATAGGAATTAAGGAAATGATGATAAGAAGAACCACAATTGACAGGAAGGAAGGATAGGAGAAAGAGGAAGCGGAAAAGGAAAACATAATAGAAGACAAAATGGACAGCACACTGAAAAATGGGAAGAGGAAAAGGGGAAGGCCTTCATTAGAGGAGAGTAAGATTAAAGAGAACTCTTGCAATAGAAAAATTTCTAAGCTGTGGAGAACCAACACAAAAAGGAGGAAAAGAGAGAAGTGGCAAAAAAAAAAGAAAAAAAAGAAAAGGGAAGGGGAAAAAACAGAAGGAAAGAGAACAGTGAAGATTACAATAAGCACAATGAAAAATATAAAGAGAGAGATAACATAAGAAAGAGAAAAGTTAGAGAGATAGAGAGATAAAGAAATAAATAAATGAGTTATACCATAGAATAAAAATTATAGAAGATAGATGGAAAAGAAAAGAAGAAGAACTATATAGAAAGATAGAGTAAATATTACAAAAGAAGAATATGAGAAGAGAAAAAGAGCATGAAAAGAAGATAAAAGAATTAACGTTGCAAGTTCTAGAGAAGATAGAAGAAAGATTAAAAAAGAAAAAAGAGAAGGCACAGGGCCAAAGGAGGAGATACAGGATATATGGGGAGAGGTGAGAAAGATACCAATTAGGTAAGAATCAGCAACTAATAGCACAGGAGAGGTGTGGAAATACAGAAAGGTGAAACAGACACTAGGAAAAACAAGAAGGAAGGAAATGCGATCCACGCAGAGACAAATTCGGAACGTTGGAGCACTTAGTAAGGGATTGTAGGGAAGTAGAAGATGTAGTGAGTGAAAGAAAGATGAGAGGATAGAAGATTGGCTTAGACAGTTGAAAAGGAAAAGGAAGGAGAAAATGGAAAGTAGTGCAATAGAGTAATAAGAAAGAGATAGAAAACAGTAGATCAATGAGTAGAATAATAAAAGAAATAAGTTAGGAGAATAAAGGAAAAAGGAATGAGAGAATGAGGCACATAAATGGATTAAGTTAACTTTGTACAGTTAAGATAAATGTAAACTAAGTTCGAATTTCTTAGCTGTGATTGGCTGAAATAAATAATATAAGTACATACATACAAACATATAAATGCACAAGAAATGAATGTGTAAGAAAACAAATAGGTATATATAATGCACAGCACAATTTAATTTTAAAAACTATTAAGTCATCTCTTAAGTAATGTCTCTTCTTACTTTAGATTTGATAAAATCCTATACAATGTTTATGCAATGCAACAATATGAAGTCTTTGGATATGCTTTTGAAAGAACATTGCTTCTTTAATCTAAATCAAGCATTAAAAATATTTAAATATAATGTTAAATGTATTTAAATCATATTTCTTAACTTTAGAAAAAATTTCAAAATGTGTAGTAATGATATTTGTTTGCAGCATTGTATGCTGTAGGAGTTTTAAGAAGGCAATATAGTTGCAAATGCTATCAAAAATATTTTTGAGGTTTGTGGACAAGTGTTAAATGTAAAACAATATCAAAGGTGGTCCTCAAAATTCTAGAACAATAATTTTGAATTAAATAATGAGACAAAGTCTAACTGTTCACAACAATTTGATGATGATGCTTTAAAGTGTCTAACTGAAGGAGGACCACATTTTATGATATAAGAAGAATTTTCACTAACAGTTTTGCTTATAAGCATTGGAAAGCATTGAAAAAATGTTAAAATTAGGAAACTAGCATTGTATATAACAAACAGTATTCAATGTGCAAAAGTTTGAAACCAGCAATAGGATCCCTTATGTCTTAGCAAAATTGTAACTAAGAAAAAAATTAATTCTTCCTCTCTGAAGATCAACTATCACAAAGTCAGCAATCAATATCTACAACAAAACTTGATTTTCATTCGAAAAAAGCTATACTGTATGTTTAGTAGAGTATATATTTACTTCTAAAACAAAGGGAGACAATTATAGTTTACAATATAGAATTATGGAAATGACATGCAGACTTGATAAAGAAAGGACCATATTGGTAAAATGTAAAGTTATTCTTTTTTATCACAATAATGTTTGATCACACACACTAAAAACAATGCTAGGAGAACAATTTAATTATTATATTCTTGGGACTATTTTACTGCTTATATTTATGAAAGGACAAAAAGTTCAATAACAGACCAGTTCAATATTGAATGTTTTTTAATTTAAAAACAAAGAACTTTTTTACAAAGGAATTGAAAAGCTGCTTAAAAGATAGAAGATGTTTCTCACAAACAATGGTAAGTATGTTGCTGATTGAAAGTAAAAGTAAATATTATTTTCCTCTTGCAACTGAGTATCTAAACCAACATTACTCATGAAATGACGTAATATGTAAGAATTTTATAAACATACCATATCATCTGGTCCTTCACAATTGTGTCTGTAGTCCAAACCTTCAGGAATTAATTTATTAAGCATCATTTCTACATCATCTCTAACATCTGGATCCCAATTTTCATTTAATGCTAAACTTGCCGATGTGTGAAGAACTAAAAATTAATAAGAAATGATTGTTTATATTAAAAACATGTTTATAATTTTTCTAGTAATTATATATATACATATACTTTATTACTTATCTCCTTAACATAATAAATATATTTGAATTACCAAGCATATTAATACAATTAAGGAAATTTCATATCTGTATTAAATTTTTCTGGGTTTTAAATAGAATGTACTGTTTTATTAAAGTCAATAATAATATTTGATATTAATATATGCATCTTTTTCCTAATCTTTATCCCCATCTTATCATCTTTATACGTACCATTAAGGGTCATCAGTACAATGCAGTATCATGGACTTGTATTTGTTATTTCTAATTAGCTTTAGAATATATTTTAATTTTCTATAGAATAATAATTTAAATTAGTAGTTTTGATAGATTACATATATCAAAATTTAACCTGACTTAAAAAATAATATAGCTTGTGTGTGTTCATTCAAAAATTCAAATAGCATTCATTTGAAACATTATACTACAATGTAATCATTTTTTATTAAAGAAACTCGCTTACTTTGTATATGACAAAGTCCAACAGAAAATTCACAGAGTTCGGGAATTCCTTTTAGGATTTCCTCGGTAACGTGATGAATACCTCGACGCTGTGGTCTTAGGTTAATTTTTGTTTGAAACCAAGCAGAGCCGATTTGAATCCCTCTATTTGACGAGGTCATGATATGATACACTGTAGAGATTACACACTTAACTAGACTTTGAATGAAATTTTCCGTAAAGCGAAGATACGGTAAAATCTACTTGAAGCCAAAAATCACGAGAACACGGTCCACTCCATTGGATATAGTATGTGTCTACTATCTTTACCGCTTGCCGGCTACAAGATGTATGGATTTAACCACATCTTTTAAGATTGTCTAATTGCATCGGCTATATTTCGTATTCATAAAAAGGTTATGAGAAATAATGATTCAACGTGCACATACGTATCACGTTTACATACGCTCACCTTCACCTACACGGAATATCATAAGTATCAGGTACGCATACTAATAATGTAAGAACAAGTTGATAAAATTATTTGAAAATAAGTCATCGTATCACTAAAAGATTTAAATCTTCTAATAGAACGTTTCCTTAGTAGAATTTTAACAGTGACGAGCCATATTGTTCGCTACATCAATGTCAGAGAATAAATAAATCGAATGGTAATCCAAACAATAATATAAGTGCGTTCAGTAATAGTACGCTTTTTGCTAGAACCATTTTATTCTCTATTGATTGGCCTTCACATAAGCGGCAAATTGAAAATTATAAATGTCAATTAAAAATATGTTTGGTAATAATAATGGTACATATGCAATAATAATTGTTAATGTAATAAAAATTATTATTAAATTGATATAATAAATAAATATATAAAAAAAAGTATTTTTATGGGGCTAATAATTACTGTTGTAGCTATTGTTATTTTAATTTTCGTTATTTATCATTATCCTATTGTATGCATCTGGTAAATAACTATACGGAAATGTATTTGAAAAATAAAATAAAAATTAATGACATAATTAAAACAAACAAGATTCGTCAATTGTTGTTTTGAAGTTAAAAAAAAAATGACAGTTTTATTTAATTATATACATTTTTCTTTCCATTTTTAAGGACTGTATTATTTTGGCCAAAGAAACTGATATTTTTGTTTAAATTGGAAATTTATCGTATTATTTGTTTAATTTATCAAAACTTTAGTTTAAAATAAATGTTTCTAATTAACGTGTAATTTCATTTAATATAAATGCGATATTGAAGTGTCTTCTTATTTTGTGCAGCAAAGTACTTCAAAATAATTATAGAACATTTTTTTTCTACAATAATTACTTCTACATATCATGTAGTAACAATAATTAAGGCATTTAAGCAGAATATCCTGCATAACGTGATATTTGTTATAGTGATATTTGTGATAATATTTTTATATTCTACTAAAAAAAATAATGTAAAGAATTCTTCAAATTTCAAAGCTATACACAAACTCAAAAGAAATAAGTAATAAATAATTTAAGTATTTTTATTCTTTTTATAATAAAATTTTGAATTTTATTTGTTTATGTATCTGCAACAATATGTTATCATCAATATATGTATTATAAAAATTACTCTATATATAATTGTAAATCTGTATTGCTTTGTATAATAGCAGCTTGTAATCCTTTAGTATTACAAACAGGATTTTCTCTTAAATCTAGTAACTTCAATTTATGTCTTATCAATAATTGTAATATTTCCTCAACATTATTCAATTTATTATTCCTTAGTGATAAAATTTCAAGGTTTTGTAATGTGGGAAATTTTTCCAAACTGTCCAATTCATTGCTTGAAAGTGATAATTTTTTACAATTTTGTAGAAAAGATAATTGGTGTAAAGAATTTGATAAGAAGTTTGCACCAAGATTTATTTCCTCAAAGAAATTGAGATGTTCATTATTACTAAGTGTAGTTAAGTTTAATCCTGAAAGATCAATTTCAGACTTTACATCCTGATCTCCTTCAATGTCCCATAATTCAGACAATTTATATTCAATGACATATTTACTTCCTGAAAAAAATATTTGATAAATTTTTAGACCGTTTTTAAAATAAGAATATTAGAAATAAAAGTTATAATCATAGAGTATAACGAAAATTAAAGCAAAAAATAAGAACATGCAAGTTCGTTAAAATATCTTCATAAAATTTTATAAAATCAATTTTTCTCATTAAAAGAATAGCAGTAAGATGGGCCCATTTATTATTAGGTTCCATTTCTACAAGTTGTTTATAACTCGATAATTGTTCCAATAATTGATCTTCATTATAGCAGGATTTATATTTTCTTTTTCTATATATCCATTTCTGATTAAAATGAAGTAAAGGATAAAATGTTCCTTCTATTCCTATGTGAATATTTTTTATTTCAGGTAACTGTTTTTTAAATATCCCAAACCATAACTTTGAAAATTTTGTTTCTTGCCAAGACTTCCATTGAACATTTTCATTTTCAGTATTTATTTGTAAGTATATTGACTCAGTTGATACATTTTTATTAGCTAAAAGAATTACATTAGTATCCTTTACTAAGGCTTGAGACAGGGTAGAAGAACTTTCATGAGCATCCAATAACCATCTTTGATAGAACCAGGCACTAGAATCACTAGGATCTGTGAATGTGGCATTCATTACCAATTCTAATTCTAAAATAAAAACAAGAATTTGGATATTATTTATTACAAAATAATTTAAAAAGAAATGTTATATACAATTCTGACCAAAATTATAAGTTCACTTCATTTTTGGCTCGTTTATTGTCGTAGTTAGAACTATTGTTTTTTTTTCTTTTGCAAAATTATTTTTCCATATTTCGTATTTTTACATAATTCTGCAAAAGAAAAAGAAACAATAGTTCTAATTACGACAATAAACGAACCAAAAATGAAGTAAACTTATAATATTATTAGCTATTAATACTTATAAGCTATTAATGTCCAATAAAAATGTTACCATTTTTTTTCTTTTCATCAATATCCCTTTGATCAGAATTACGAAACATTTTTGACAATAGTCGACTCCTGTAATGCCAGGAAGAATAATTAGAGAAATTATTTAGAATTTTTGAAGTAGCAAATTGAAATTCTTCTTCAGGAGAAACTCCTGCTTTTTGTACAACAAATTCTCTATAATTCCAACAATGAACTGAAATAAAACAAAAATAACATTTGTATTTTATTACTCTAGCTATAATGAAAGTAAAACAATCTATAATATTATTAACTCACAATTTCTTTCATCCAAATTTAAACACTTAGAACATAACATTAGTTCTCTCTTCCAGTCACAATCTTCTAGATGATTCATAATCCACATTCGTTGGTACCATACCCAGTATGACTTAGGATTTTTTTGTAAACAATATTCAGTAAATGTTAATTCATTTTGGTAAAATTTTTTCGAAATTTTTTCATCCCTGTTTTATCAAATGTTATATCATATTGAATCTTGCATAAATTTAAAGTGTAAGTATATTCACAATATGTAAATTTAATTTTGATTACTTTGTATTAGAAATTTTTTGAACTGGACTTTATGTTACTAATACATAAATATTTATATCACTATTATTATTAATAACAAATGTTACACAATTATATTACATTGATACAATATTAAATTAGAATTATTGAAGGGAGTAAGAAATATGTTTACTATTGTTTAAGATCGAAAAATTTAAATTATTATTATTAGTTCGAGGTAAACAGTAAAAATGATTACTATTTTATAATTACCAATCATTGTTTATAAATGCTTCTCTACGAACATTCCATAATGTGTAAATGTCTGGATTTTGTAGTAACATGCGTCCACTAACCGTCATCAGTTCATCATCATAAATATTACTTCTTCTCTATAACACATAAAATAACAAAATTATAATTGGAGATATCTTTTATCTGGTTAATATCCTTCTTCCTATTTCATTTTTATAATGCAATCATTTTTTTCCATTTACTCCTTACTCAACACACACACATACAAAATAATATTGAAGTGAAATTACTTTTTCAAACACAATACTCATGCCAGCTCTATAACGTGCAAGTTTTTCAGCACATTCTTTATTTTTTAATGCTTCTTGTTCTGCAGTTGTTCTAACCTTTACTCTACCGTGCTGAAAAATAATATTTTCGTTTGTAACATAAAATGTAATTATATTAAATGTAAAATGATAAAATAAAATTATATAAAGTAA